ATATCATCTTCAATAAATATCATAGCTTCTAATTCAGACTCATCAAGTGAAAGATTAATAATTTTTAATATTTTCATATGATCAAGAGACTCAAATCCATCTCGAAAATGAGAAAATCTTGCTCGCAACCGTGGAAGTAAATATGACACGTCTTTTTTTTCGGATTTCTTTTTGTTTTTCAACGGACACGCGTATTGGATATGCACGTCCTTTTGAAATTAAATAGTATTTTAATTGGATACGGCTTTGGCGTATCCGACAAGTATTGGTGGAGTATCGGAGGCATATCCGTGTATCGGTGTATCGGATACAGCACGCCTTCATAAATAGGTGTATCGGTGCAACATAGATCACAAGTTAGTCAAGTGGCTTTCATGAAAAAATTGGTCACTTCCTGATCGTCGGCGTATCATATTATATCAGTCAATTTTCTTATACCTCCCTTTCCATATCATTTAAGATTACACCATAAACTTTATTTAAAAGAAAGTATGTCGACCCATCCTTTTATACAGGATAACATGTTTCCAACCAATCTAAAACAATCAATAATTCCAACCAACCTTTCTTGCTTTTAAAACACAATTCGCATCATATGAAGCATAATAGCAAATATTATACATACTCAATGCAATTATTAGTACACTAGTCAATATACCTGTAGCATGTCTATAGTATATCAGAAATGCATATTGTACCAAATGAATAATAAATATGTTCATGTCGTGTTTTCCATGTCTAAATGCAGTGCATTGACTCGTGATTATTTTACAATTAATATTATACTACCCGTTTCATTTAAAATGGCATATAAACAAAATCACTTTGTGAAATTTAAATATTAACCCATCAAAATGCTCGAGACAACAAATCAAAATCTACACAATAAAAACTCACTAGAATGAGAGATATTATATTTTAATCAAATTTAAGAGAGATAAATCCGAGAAATCAAAATCACTTAATACAGAAATAGAATTCGGGTTATCTACCGAGATCAAAACACTTTTGCTAACTAGAGCGATGGATAAAAATGACCTGAAGCGCCTTTCTCTCTCCTCTCTCTCCCTTCTTCCCCCCCCCCCCCCCCCCCCCCCCCCCCCGCGCCCATCTCTCTCCTTTCTTCCCCGACAATAAAAGAAATGAAGGGGTGGCTGGATGATGGTTTAATGGAAATAAATGTAGATATTTTTATATAAAAAAATGAAGTTTCAGGCCCAACATCATGGCACCCAAGACCCCAGCACCACCGCGCTCAATTAATTCACCAAAAAACTGAGAGCTCAAAGCCAAGGTGCCACTCCTCTTACGCTGCAACACACTCAACGTCGTAGCACTCTTACAAATAGAAATTTTGGAATTTAGCGAAATTAGAATTGAGCGTTATTACAACAACAAGGGCTTCCCTAGTTCCAATTAGATATCAATTAAGCCTAAGGCAAACAAACAATAAATGAAGCCATCACTCTCATGATCTAAAACTAAGGAGCTCTCATAAATCAAGAACATGTGGGCCAAGAAGTAATCAAGCATCTATGACTCAAGAAGTCATCAAGCAATGTTTAGATAAGTAATCCAACTAGTGCTATATTTGATAAGAAGATATAAATTTTTTGATAATGCCTCAATGTTGACCTCATTGAAGAATTTGTCATAATTCAATTATTCATTAGAACCCATAGGTCAAACATTCACGCTCTTTATTCACTAGATGAAAAAAAAAAATGTATTAGGAAAGACTCGAATGCAAGTTTGTTTGGTTCCAAAAGGCCTCCCTTTACAATGCTCGACATGATAACAACCCGATGCAATTAGCCCTTATGAAAATTAATAATTACTCAGAATTGCACAATATTTGATTCTGAGATGAAGCTTATCAAGTCAGCTTTCTAATACTACATTCATAGTGTTCACATCAATGGCAATCTTGCACATGCCAGAAGCAGCTTGGAATGTTTACAGATGTTTTTTTCACAATGTTCGTGTTGCTTAATGCACTCCTTGCTAATGAACCTCCTCTTCACAACAATTGACGACATGTGTGCCACTCACCTCAGCTAACTTTAGACCATACGCATTCAAGAGTCAAGACTACCTAGAAACACATAATTGTCTATGCTGATGCTAACCAAAGACACCGACAACCAGGCAATATGGGGATTTCATCAGCCATGTAGTTGTACTACTAACCAACTTGCCTTCATATCGTCTTTGCTGATCAGAACTATTAGGCAACAAATGTGAGCAGAAGCCCCTCCAAACAGTTGGATTTGGATCATTATTATAATTTCAACAAAAAGTGGATATTTATAACTGGACAAGACCCTCAGGTTTCTTCTCCATTGCAAGTTTTTCACAAATAATTCCTTCTCTACTTCATCACCTTTGTGTGGATTTTTCTGAGGTAAGATAGCATGAAACTCTCACATTCTTAAGAACTGCAAAAATCTCTTTCAACACGCCATAGAACCTTATAGTTTAGTATGTTCATCGAATATAATATATATGAATGGTTTCTCAAGCATTGACTAAAATTTTCAAAAAGGAATAAAATCTTTAACGAACCACGAAAAAGAAAAAAGACTACTCGAACATTTGGAAAATATCATGCTGTACATTTTCTGCAAACACTTACTAGGTAAAGAGTCAAATCGCTGCAACTGAAGACCTACAAAAGAAATGAAATAGACAGAAAACAGATAATAAATCATAGATTGTAAAGGATTACAAAAAAGAAACAAATAATAATAATAAACAACCTTTGTAATCAGTTCCTACGTATCCAACGCGAAGAACGACCTTCTTCTTGCGGCATGATTCCCATCTCCACTTCCTAGGGGTATCGAGGCAAATTGAAGCGCGAGCAGAGCTGAAAACCCTAGAGGTTCTAGGACTCCGAAGAAGAAGATGATGACATCGACGATGGCCGAGGGAGACATGAGAGCTACTGTTCAAAAAGAGCCGCGTCGATATAGGAAGCCGCAGCGAAGAGACGACAGCCATTTCTTCTGCTAGAGAATAGATAGAGAAGCAAAAGGCAAAATTTTAAGAAGATAAAATTCATTATATTGAGAAAACATAATTAGAAAAAACAATTAATTAGGAGCAGAAATTAAAAAAAAAATTTTTGATTTTTATGATATTATAAAATATTTTAGCTCTTGCTTAAGAAAATTGCAATTTAAAAAAAAAAACGCAAATTTTTTTTTACTTTCTATAGAAAATGGAAAAGGTAAATGTAATATTAAATATATTAGAAAAAAAACTTTTTTTTGAATTTAAATTATGTATTTTTAATCATTTGTATTTTTTATAAATTACAATTTAACTATACATTTGTTAAAACATTTTAATAATTTTAAATTAAGGGTGTAAAAATTTGACACGGCTCGAAACCCGACTCGGACCTGTTTGACACTCAAGTCAGGTTCATGTTTAGTAATCCGACACGATTATAAATCTGGATCGGGTCTGGGTTAATCTGGAAATCTAAAAATAACCTGAAATGACCAGAAAAGCAATCGGTTGAAGCGAGTGTTCTGATTGATATAATGGAGTCTTTTGATTTTATTTTAACAATGCATTTGATGATTAATATATTACGCATTACTGTGAAACCTTTAACTTTCAAGTTATTTTTGGAGAAATTTTTTTTTTGTGCAGTTAGTCTTTACGAACCGTCTGTACAAACTGAACAAGGTGCATGTTAGTTTGTATGAACCGTCTGTACGAATTGAACAAATTGCATGTTAGTCTGTACGAACTGAACAAGGTGCAGGTTCGTCTGTACAAACCGTCAGTTCGTCTGTAAGAACAGAACAAATTTTTTTAACAGAGCCCATCGTCTAAGGACGAAATTAATTATCGTCTGTACGATATGTGGACAGAGGAGATCGTCCCGGGACGAACAAAAAATATCATCCGTACGATCTGAAATATCTCAGCCCATTAAATATCTCATTTGTTGATTTTTGAAGAGAGAGAAAGTCTAGAGAGAGAAAGAGAAGGAAAGAGGAAGAAAAGCCAAGTTTTGGGCATCTTCGGTCCGTTTTCGTTCGACGATGTAGTTGAGAAAGTTGATCGACTCGAGGTAAGGCACATTATGTCTATCTCAATTTTCAGAAATATGAGTTTTGGCAAATATTCTGATTAAAATTTCGTTTCCGTTAGCGAAAAATGAGTATAACTTTGCACCGGTAAAACTTTTACCGTGTAACTTTTGGTATGTCATAGAGATTATGATTTTGCACATTTTGAATGTTTTCTGAAAAAAAATTTACCATGTATTTTGAAATCTGCGGGGTTTTTATCGAATAGAAAATTATCTGGATGTCGAAAAATAGTGCTTCAGTGCAATAAAAGTTTTAAAATGTTGTTTTATACGATCTCCGGTAACTTGGTAATTTTATGAAATTATGCATTTTTTATTCGTTGGCTTTTCTGTTATCTGTCGCTACACGAAAAGGTGAAATTTAGATATGTGCTCAATTACTCCGTATTTATTATGATGTAATGATTTGATGTTTTATATGATTAAATGATATCAGAAGGGAGTTATAAGGGGCCATAATCCTTTGAGATTTTATCTGTGACAGGAAAGGGAGGCATAAGGGGCCAGAATGCTTTGAGATTCTATTTGGGTCTGAGAATATGAAAATTGAAATCTGATCTGATAATTCTGTATATCTTATAAGTTCTAGTGTTGTAAGAACAATAGGAGCTATAAGGGGTCAGAATCCTTTGAGATTATGTTTATCTTAGGGAAGAGAGGCATAAGGGGTCAGAATCCTTTGAGATTCTGTCTGGGTCTAGGAAATATGTCCTGAAATATGTTCTAAAATGTAATTTGAATGTGATTTTGAATGATCTGTGATATAAATTTTATTTAGTTCTTCTATAT